AAAACACAAAAGAAAACCGGAAAAACAAACCAAAAATACCTAATGACTCAAAATGAAGGAAAACACATAATAAAACACGAAACGGACTAAAAACTAAAGTAACAACCTAAAACGGGACAAAAAAAGATAAAATAAACACGAAAAATGCAACAAAAATGAGACAAACACTTGGTGCTAGACTAGGGCCTTGGACCATCCCCTATAATGATTTTACTGCAAATTTATTTATAATTCTTAAGCCCAAGACAAAATCCAAACCCAAGTTGGGTTTGGACTCAGATTTTGACCTAACCTAGGAGTGGAAGTGTTATTATTTCGAGCGACACTTCCATTCACGAGAACTTGAGGGATCTGTAGACCAATCTTCTTACTGAATCTTCAGAGTAAGACAACCAAGTCAACATGGAACGAAACGAGCAGCGGGGCGAGAACCAAACCCCTCGTTACCTTCTCCGTGATTTGTCTCAACTAGTGATTGGGCCATTGACATCATGCATTCGGTTAGGAACAGTGGATGTGAACACGAGCTTAAGACAATCCACTACAATCAGCTCCCAGTTTTCTATGGTATCCCAAATGAAAACCCGCTTCATTTTATCCAGGAACTCTACAATGTCCTCCAGGCGTTCCCACTTCATGGACTGAATGAGAATTATTTGAAAATGCGGTGGTTCCCAGAGACTCTCAAGGACTAGGCCAAGACGTGGTTTATGACTCTCCCTCCCGACTCTCTTATCACATGGGAGTAAGTGTACTCAAAGTTTATCGAGAGGTACTACTTCGATCAGAAGATGCAAGAGCTCTCGTCCAGGTATATTAAGCCTGGACGTGTGACCTTTCACATGTCCACCTGATCGTTTCGATTGTTATCAGGTGGAATGAAGGTGAGTTGAACAACTGAGAAACTACACAGTTACAACTTACAACAACCATAAATGGGATGTTACAAGCTGAATAGTCATTTTCTACATTGTTGGAAGTCTTTTATATAGAAACAATGAAGAATCTGCACAAGGCACAAGTATATCATCTGCATTTGGACTCTCTAGAAAAAGCCTCACGCATCATAACATATAGTGCTCTATTTTTGCCTTCGTTTTAATTTGTTGGAGCTCAGAAATCTGAAGTGCTACAGATTTTGAGACGTAACCGTTGTATCTTTGGAGAAGAGATGCCTTAAGCAGTCATCACATTACGGGGCAAATTCTTCTTGCTGAAGGAGCAACCCTCGCCTCGACTGATTCTCTTCCCGCATCTACAATTTGTGTTTTGTTATTTTATGCTTTTTAGTTTAAGTTGTGCAAACTGAAAATCAAGTATTGAGTTTATAGGTTTACTAATGTAATCAAAACAAATATTTGTAACAATTGCAAGATGAATTTTGGGCCTACTAAACTGATGGAATCCACCGAAGAAGGTTCGCAAACTCAGTAGACCCAACAACAACAACAGCATCTGATCAACACTTTGTTCCTCATCATCATTCTATACCTGTTGTCCAGGTCCATACTGTTTAAAAGCATGAGAAATTCAACGGGATTGACTTCAAGAGGTGGCAGCAGAAAATGTACTTTTACCAAACCACATTGGGTTTGATGAAGTACTTGACGAACGCTCCTCCGGTTGTGGCTGAAAATGAAACCAATGCTCAGTATATGATCATACTTGCAATAATCTTGGCCTTTTTGAGGTCTTCAAATCTGGCAGAACTCAATTCCATGAAATGATTCCATTCAATGTCCCTATTTTTCAATACAGATTTGATACCTCAGCAACTTTTCATTCAAAATGCATAGATGCCAACATAACTCTCTAGTAGTTTGGAATGTTTGTGACCAATTTAAAGTTGCTGTTGCATTTGAGTATCCATGACCTAGGTTGACTTCCATCAAACCTTGGAAAATCTAATTTGCGTAAAGGGTTGATTATCAATTATGTAGGTTGTTCAAACTGAAACCCCTATTTTGACAATTGCTGAAATTTGGATATGCTACCATCAGTATGATGAGTAAATGGTCCTTACCCTAGTATAGACTCCTGATTTTTCTTGTGTAGGTTGAGCAATTGCAATTGAACAGCTGCTAGGGTGTTCATACTTACTATTCATGTTATAAAAGAAGCATTCATGTTGCCCGACCTTGTAATTCGAATTCAATTGCCTCTTTCATGAGTGATTTCATCTTTAAATTGTGTAGCTTCAGCTATTGTCGAGGATCGAGGACTATAGATACCAAACGTTATGGGTTATCATTTTCTGAATTTTGTACATTTTTTTGGTATATTTCTGTAAGTAATTTATATGATTAAGAGAGAAAGAGGGGGAAGATGAGTGTAGAATAGAGTTGAGATCCACAATAAGAGGAGAGAGAAAGAGTGAAAGTGAGAAGAAGATTGTCACTGCCAAATCTTGCCTTTTCCATTTCTTCATTTCCCTTTAAATACATCTTATCGGGATTTGTTCGATTAATAAGTTTATTCTGAGCCTAATTAACCCATTACATTCAAAATCAACCAAACATAAAAACAATAAAGAACCCAATAGATGGCCCAATTTGGTCCATCATCTTGTCGTCATGACTAGGGTTACCTCTTCTCCTTCCCCGATTTGCACCTTCCTGGTGGCGTTTTTCCCTACATCTCCCTTCTTCTCCGACAAAGTTTCACCCTTTTCCTTTAAACATGACAAAGTCTCCGCCTTTTTCCCGTGAATTCCTCTTTTCGATCCTGATCATAACATCCATCCTTCGAGAGGATTCTCGATCTCTCTGCATATGAACAAGAACCTGCAAAGCAAAGTGATAAAGCGACCGCTCATCGGGTTGCATCATCAAAAGTCGAGATTTTTCATAGTGACGTGTACCACTTCCCTACACCCCTAGTTGGTATGAAGCCATCATTACACTATTGCTTTTTTCAGGTGTAAATACAACCTTTCAGGTCTCACAAACATCATTCTTCAACTTTAATCACAAAAATTTCTCAATAAGAATGCCTCTCTGTTTTCCTTTTTGTCGATCTCCTAAACCAAGGGATTGGCATTTTTTTCCCCCTTAAGACCTTTGTTATTGCTACTTAAAACAGTTGCTCCATCACTTTATAATCGCATTGACACCCTAAAAAGTCGTTTCATTAATTGTAATTCATGCCCGAGTGTCAACAATTGATATTTTATTTTGTAACATATCAACTAATTTGAACTCAAATTTCTCTTGAACCGACACATACATATAGTCAGGGCAGTTCCGGTTCATATAAAATGCGAACTTGAACCGACCCATGACCATGTCTAAATACCTATCATTATTTTTTTAATAAACAAAAATCTCATTTCTCCACTCCTCTTTGTTCCTTGTGAGAAAAGTCATTGAAAATTTTCTTGAATAACCAGTATTTCATCATACTCCCTTTTGGACTTGTCAAATTAGATCAATTTTATAACTAGTTATTAGCATGATAAAAGTGATCGCTTAATCGGTGGTAATTCTCTTCAAACTTCTTTCCCCAACAAATTCGGTGTTGGCCGAACACAAAACAAAATTAATCAATTCTACTCATTATTCTATGGAAAAAAAAAGGAACTAAAAATACAATTAACTAAAAGAAACTACGATATAAAAAAAAGGGAGATTCTACAGTCTCGGAATCATTCCGTCGGAGTTTGTAACCGTTAGATCAACTGTCCACAACAGTTACATGATGATCTAACGATTACAAATCCCGACGGAATACTTCCGTAACAGAATTGTAGCATTTCGCAAAGGAAAATTGACACAAACACAGAACAAACAAAAAACTTGATCCAAAAATTGTGGCACTGAAAAGGATCATATTATTATGAGGCAGCAATTTTCTCGAAAAGGCCCAACCTATTATCAGCCAGCCTCGTATTGTAAGCTGATTTTTTGTAGTCAAACCATGTAAACTCCTTGTACAAGCTGTCCTCGTCTTTGATTAATAGTGAAGGCAATGGGGCTATCTTTTCACTCAGCGGTGGTCCTCCGAAATAAATCATGGAGAGCCTTGCTTCGGGGCTGTTGGCCACGACCCTATGCCTCACGCTCTTGAACCTCCCGTTGGTCATAACCTGTCCCATTCCAATTCAATAAATTTTTAAACCAATGAAATTTAATTTTCGAATTAATGAATTAAATCTATGAGGGTTACATATTGTCGCCGACGTGTTTTTGATACGAATATATCCGCTCGAAACGAGTTTTTTTTGGTTAATCAGAGCTAATTAAAATAAAATAATTAAAGTTGACGTGTTTTGATACTAATATATTCACTGAAAACGAGTTTTTTTGGTTAACTGGAGTTAATTAAAATAAAATAATTAAAGCTGATTTGGTGAAAAAATATAAGAGAGATGATGCGAAGTGAAACTATATGAGTGAATGAATAATAAAATAAAATTGATAAGATAAGTACGGACAATTGATTGTCATTATTTAATTATATTAATAATATTGAACATACTGAAATTGAGATAAAATTTAGTTAAATTTTATATATCGATTGAATATGAATTGAAAAACTTTATAATAAATACTACCTCCTATTTTTTTAAAAAAAAATGTCATTTTAGCTATATCAACCATTAACCAAATAAATGACGTTTTAGATCTTTTGTACATATTTGTCCATTATTATCCTCGTTTATCTAGTAAATACACTAAAATCTTTTCATACCCACTCTTACTTTTCATATTATTAATTTTCATTAAAGAAGATTATTATTGACCAAAAAAAAAATTAACTACCGTGCAACTTCTAAACATGACACTTATTATGATAGGAAAGAATAATATTTTATAACAAAAATTCTATGGAGCCATCAGATGGTTTTCTTATGGTGTCATGTATTGACACCTGTCCAAATTGTATATATTGTAGAACACGTGTCAATATACTATTGGTGAATAAATGTCGATTACTTCGTAGCAAAGGTGTGCTTTGTTAATGTGTATCTTTTTATGTTGTGAACTTGTATAAAGTAAAGTAGGTCAATTTAATAAATGTTTAAATGGTAGTAATAGTAAGTACTCTCTCTCTCTCTCTCTCTCTCTCTCTCTCTCTCTCTCTCTCTCTCTCTCTCTCTCTCTCTCTCTCACTCACTAATGACTCGATAGTGACACAACAAAGCTTTATTGAAGGAGGAATGAAATCTAGGAAGATTCAACTAACCATCCCTCATTAAAGAAGGGGAAAAATTCAATATGAAAACGGTGTGCATGAAAGCTACGATGAATGAAGTTATGGGTCTCATAAGTCAACATCTAACTGAAAAATAATCCTTAGTCAAAATCTAGCAAACCTCAACATCATGCCCATAACCACCGATAATATACTTGAGGCGGTTTATACTTACATCACTCGATAGCCATATGCACACAACTCTATGTACAGGCATCACAATTAATTAATTTACCGAAAATATACTATAAATAGACACTAATTGGTGGTTTTGTACAAGCAATAATATAAGGTTAAAGAAATTTCATTTTCCAACTTAAGCCATTTGTTTATAATTACTACATATGTCATACCTTGGTGAGATACTAAAATTGGAAATCATGCATCCCCTCATAATATAACGAACTAATTACGTTTGTGAAGAAATTAATCAATGCAATCAGTGTTCGGGGAATGCTACGGTCCCGTTATGTAACTATTCTGTCGGGTTTGTAACTGATAGATCATCTAGTAATCGTCGAAAAAATAGTTGATTTAACGGTTATAAATTTCGACGGAATAATCCGTTAACAGGACCGTAGCACTCCCCCTTTTTAACATATATACGCCTTAAATTAATTTCCTAAGCATAACGAAATTTAGACATAAATGGTAGCCCAAAGATATTTTTAAGGAAAAGTACTTTTGGAGCCCAAAATTACTTCACCTTCAGTTCACCCACGTGACAAGTTCGAATAAATAAAAAGAAAGAAAAATTGACGGCGGGAAAAAGGAGAAAGTGATTGTACCTGCAATGAGTCGCCCACATTAATGAAGAAGCAGTTCCGATCCGGCGGCACGGAGACCCACTCGCCGTCCCTCCCCACGATTTGGAGCCCGCCGGCGTCGTTGGACCTCAGAACCGATATTATCTGCGGGTCGGTGTGCGCCCCGAACCCAATCGGGTCGGACTCCCCGGCCCCCGCGCACGGCGGGTACCGGTTCAGCCGGAAAACCGAGTCGCTCTCCTCGTCCTTGAGCAGCTTGCTGAAAGCCTCCCTCGGCTGGACTTTCAACCCGTCGGCCAACGCCTCGAGAATCTCGCACGCCATCTTCTTCACCGCCGACAGATAGTCGTCCACCGCGGACCGGAATCCGTCGGCGGCGGCTTCGCCGAAAACGGCGGCGAACTTCCGGTAGTCGGAATCGGCGTCGGCGGTCATGAGGAGGTACTCGACCCGGCCGACGTCGCCGTTGCACCCGATGCTCCTGTTCCCGTAGCNGCCGGGCCGGGCCCACCTTGTCCTTGGCCGAGCGGGGCAAGGAGAAGAACCGGACGGCCTCCGACTCGAGCCGCTGGATGAGCTCGGGCGGGACGCCGTGGTTGACGACCTTGAAGAAGCCGAGACCCTCACACGCCTCGACGAGCCGTAACACGGAGCGGTCGGGCTCCGAGAGGTCGATCGTCGGGAACTGTTCCATTGGATTGCGAAGGTAATGTATTCGATGAGGGAGAGAAGTGAAACAAAAATTTGTGTTGATAGTGGTGTTAGATAGTGTGAGCTGGAGGAGGTTGTAGAAGGTATATATAAAGATATGGGGTCTCAACAAGAGGTGTTTGCCTATTTATGGGGTGGTATTGGGAAAGGGAAGGAGATGTGGGGTGCTATTTGCAATTATTATATTTTATATTTCACGGTAAGAATTAACGGTGGACCTTGAGATGTCCAATGTAAACAAACGATGGATCGGGATGGGTGGCTATCTGCTATGCTTTATTGACAATTTTAATCTATTTAATATATATATATATATTATTAACCATATATAGGAAAATTCTTAAGTGCCGTTGTGCATTTTAGTTGAACCAATAAACACTTGCCACATCATTTTAGTTTGGTAAGTTTTTACCACATCTAAAGGTTTCTATCAATTTTACAAGATCTAATGGCTAAGATTAAATTAATGGATGGTGCTTGCACGGCACCTTATAGTGTGCAATTAAAATTGTCATAATAAAAAAAAAAACTAACATAATTAGAAAAAAAATGACACAATATTCGTTATTATTAAAAAAAATATATATCAAGTCGACGAAGGGAGATGAGGCCCGTGGGGCACCCTGATTTTTTTTAAAAGTTATATATATATATATATATATATATATATATAAGTTTTATAACTTAAATTTCTATATATAGAATATATAAAGAAAATAATTTCTATATATATATAGGATACGTTCCAGTGATAATAGTTTCTAAGGAAAGATATAAGAATATATCTCAGCCATTAAAATTGATCATCCAACAGTTTAAAAAAATCAACTAATTTAATACTCATTAACTCTATTTTTTCCATCCCTCTGTGTAAATAACCCGATATTGGTTCACAGTCAATATTAAGGGTATGTTTGGTAAGCCAAATAAGCTAGCTTATAGCTTATTTGGTTAGCTTATAAACTCCCTGTTTAAAATAAGCCTCGTTTGGTAGAACGAGCTTTTTGAAAAAGCTCGAGCTTATTTCATAAGCTACTTTAGGTAGGTTTTCAAATAAGCTAGTTGAATTTTTTATTTCAACTAGCTTATCAGCTAATTTACCAAACATCTTTTATCATATAAGCTAGCTTTTCAGCGATAAGTCATAAGCTATAAGCTATAAGCTAAAAAATTACATATAAGTTATAAGCTAGCTTATCAGCTATCAGCTAGCTTATCAGCTAGTGACCGCGCGTCGCAACGCGACAAATTAATATTTATATTTTTCCTCGACAAACCTCTACTAACTAGTAGTAGTGGCGAGCAAGGGTCGAACCCACAGGGAGTGTGAATCAAATTGTGAATTTTCTTGTATTAATTGAATTTATAAAAGCGGTAAATGGGGGGAATGGGTTTTGATAATTAAACCAACTAAATATCCTAAAAATATAAA